AGAAAGATGTCCCTACTTCTGGAAAACTCCTTTATTCCAGAAGCACCATGTTCATGCCACTGAAATACCCCCAGTGATTCACCACAGGCTGCTTAACTTCTTAACTCAGAAAAATAACCTTTTCTAACTGGATTAATTCTAACCTAATTCAGAGGCAAGATCAGCACAGCCAAAATCTGGATAGACATCCTGCCTGACACCCCCTCAGAATTAGAGAAACTCATCATTTTCAATGGCATTTTTGGCGTGCTGCTCAATGAAAACCCTTCCCAGCAGGATGCACTGTAACGGCTTTGCGCACCTTTATGAGGACTGCCTGTTTTTTGAAGTTACCAGCCCACTGGCTGACTGCAGACTACTTTAGCAGGTATCACTGCCTGATTTTCCACTCTGCTGCTCTCATCCTAGAGTCTCTGCACAAAAAGGCTGGGGTGGGCTACATTCGTGACTATGGCCTCTCGTACTAAGCAGTCCTAGAGCTGCTGCTGCTTCTAGAGCTGCGTTGTAGCATAAAGCTGCCCGCAGGCCCCAAATGTCCAGCTGATGAATGCCTGCAACAGGCTGCAGTTCTTGTTCCCTCTTTGCATTAGGTAACCATACCTCATGCATAGTATGAATGGTCACTTCTGCTGCCCTGCCTGGTGCTAACATGGTATCAGTTCTTTAAAATGCCACGTGTACAGAATTAAATGCATATACAGGCTGACATATATGTGTATTTCACAGAAAAATTACAAACTGTAAAAATTCCTTGGTAAAGCAGAGGCCTGTTGCTACCCAGGAGGACAGCCAACAATCAAAAGAACTAAAAAACAAAGTCGCGGGGTACAGAGCAGTGAGGGCTGCTGCACTGGAGCACCTCACCGCCACAATGCTACCCACACCGCATGGCACCGAAAAGACTGCCGGAGCCCGCACGACTGACAGGCGACGCTTGCAGCAGCACCGCCGCCGCGCAGGCCGCCGGAGGCCCCGGGCGCGCGGGCAGGCCGCGGCTCTGGCCGCTACGGGTACCGGTACTCCCGCTCCCGCCCCCCCCCC